AGCTCCACCAGAAAAGCGAGTCAAAGGCTGATTAAAGCAATGTACTTAAGATTAAAATATGGTCTTATATGTGAATATATACATATATGTATATACTTTAAATATATACTAAAAGTAATAAAATCGATCCAGCTAAATTAAGATCAATATAAATTATGTGACTTGAGTCAGAATGAATTTTGGTTTGTGTAGGTGGATGGTCAAGTAGGAATTCTAATCGACGGAATAACGATTGAGGCAAGTAGCCAATAAATGTGCTGACTTTTTCTTTCAAATGAGGCCCTGATTAAATATTAACAATAAATTAGTTTCTTTTCATTATAGAAAAAATCAATCTTGGCATAAATCTGAATGGTTATAATTACCTGAGCTAATAATATACCAATTTTGGAGTACCTATATATATAGCATCTATCTAAGTGAATATATAGGCTACAGTGTTAATCGAATTCATTATTCGAAATTGGTGTATATCAATGAGACCATCGTGAATAGATATAGATATATGTACTTATTAGGTTCTCCTGAATTTTCGATTGACTCATCATGATTCATAGACTATTGCATTGCACTTGATTGATTGGTATAGCGACTTGATTAATTCATTAACTGGCTGACTGATTGGATGACTGATGAAGTGATTGATGGATTGATTGATAGCCTAATCAATCTGGCTAAGTGATTAAATGTACGATTGATGATTGACGGATTTATATCCTCACCAACTGATTGATTACTGGCTGAATAACCAACTGTAAGATTGATGATTGCAGTCATTAAGGTTGATTGACTGACTGATGATGATTGATCAGCTGAATTGATTGACTTGTTGATACATAGACAGAGTGATTGAGCCAACTGATTGATTTAATGATTGAGATATTAATTCAAAAACTGATTGACCGACTGACAGACTGATAAATAAGATGACTGATTGACTGATTGAAGCATTAGCTAAGTACTTGAGTAGTTTATACATATGTACTTATTAAACGATTGATAGACTGATTGATTGGTTGCAGCTTGATTGATTGCCTAATGATCAAAGTGCTAACTGATTGACCGATTAATAGATTGTCTGGTGTGTGGCGAATAATTGATAGTTTCAAGGATAGATTCAATTGTTTGATTGACTGATTGAAATAACCTTCAGCACAGCTTAGAACTGTCTTAGTATAATAAAATTGTGTAAAAGTAAAGTTAGCTTCGGGTTTATGTGGAAGCCATATCATGAGTAATCGAGTCGTGACCTTTAAATCAGTCTCAAGTGTAAGAGATCGTGGACAACAGTGTTGAATAATATTATAGAATAGAATTGATGGACATATCTATCGAAAATACTTAGCAGCCAGACAGCTAGTAAAGTTTAGAGACCCGCCGCTAAGACCGGTACTTAAACTGTCTATCAGAATTTTAGGGCCATATACCTGTTGTATTTTTATTCTATAACTCTTCGAGGGAGCTTATAAGCTGCATGATATATGATAGGGAATAGTTAGGAACGAATACGCCACTGATTTGTTTGTGGGAGAAATGACGTCTATGCCGTAGACTCACAACAGGTATGACGTCTATTGAGAAAGAAGGCTACTATCGAAAATCGAAAGACTCTTGTATTATAGAAAACAAAAGTACAATGCTAATCAATGGGGTGCAAGCCCGCCTGATTTGATTGTTCGCTAATCTTCCAGATATGATAAAAAGAAGTATATATAAAAATAAGCACGCTCCAAATAGAAAAATTAAACGAATAGGGTAGTTACCCTTAGGCATTACCCCTCGCATGCTGCACCGTGAAAACCTTAAAACTGTCTCAGCATTGATTTCGGGACTTTAGTGAACGACCTGTACATGTAAAGCCATTGAACCCTTATAGATCCCTAGATCTCTAGATGCTATGATGATGTAATGAATTGATTGGATAATATTTGATATGATATGATATGGTCTTATATGATATGAAGTTGTATTCATATTCATAAAGACGAAAAACAGAGTATTTCGCAATCCATTTTGTATATTATCATTAAGGAAGTACAAAGAGCTTCTATTCAAGAAACACCTGCGATTATTATAAATAACAAAATCTAGTGTATAAAAAATGCAACCAAGATTTTAGATTGCACAAAAAATGAGTGCGAAAATATGTGTATTAAATTATTTTAAAATATCTATATGCATATGTGTGTATAATAAATCCAATAAATAGTATAAATAATATACTTGACTTTAGAAATACTTGATGCTTTTAGAGGTACAGCAAGAATGGAAAGAAAAAGTATGCGTCAGCCAGCTAAGCTAGGTAGTACCCGCTATAAATATACATATATCATAGATACATATACATATATTCATATATGCATGTATAGATAACATTCCATTGTCAATGAGGTGTGTTTTGCAAATGGTTTATTAAATATTTCCCCAATTTGTAATTTAAGGGAAATAAAGTTAACTCCCCGCGTCAAATCGGATATATGTATAGCTATATATAGAAAGCTAAGTAAGTGATGCAGCACATTTGATCGATGCTCAGTGCGCTCGTATCTAGTATTATTACGTATGGTAAAAGCACATATTGAACTTAGCCCCAAGCAAAGGGAAGTACAATGCAAAAAAGTAATTAATGTAGAATTGTTCGATCGATCGCTAGAGCTCTAGCGATTGCCTTTGTTGTTCAGGATGGCAAAATGCATGTCGAACTAATTATATTTATACATATATGCACCTATGAAAGTGAAACCATTGAGTGTGCTAGCCCGTCTAACGACCAGCTGATCGCAGCCGATCAGCGAGAGACTCGGAACGGCGATCAATGATCAAATGTCGCACGTGAATTCTATAAATAGTTTCAGAGACGATCTTTCTAATTAAGTGTGAAAATACCCAAAGCCTTTCGATTGATTACAGCAAATGCAAACTGACACACACGCATACAAATGAGCTGGAGAGCTGGGCGGTAATAGATTGATAAACATTGCATTGCAATTGTTGTTGTTGTTGTTTTTTGCTTTTTGCTCTTATCAAAACGGTAACGTCTATATTAATGAGTGCGCGTTACAAGCACTGCTCTCTATGCTACATGTGTCTGCGTGTGTGTGTGTATATAAGTGCTATAATGAGCTTCACAAATGGTACGACTACCGAGTACCCTAGACTAGTTAGATCTATAATAAACCACCCCCTAGGTAGATCTCTGATAACCCCGTTGTGCAATCAACTGAAAGAAAAACTAGGGATATTTATCGGTTTTGTAAAAGTTTCAAGTTAAATTTATTAAAATTTTATATAGGTAATACTTGAACGAACACTATGCACAGATGTTTACACTCACTTTCTTCGATTATATCTCAAAAATGCAATACCTTAACATGCCCATATATCATAAAAATTCAATGTATACCAATTTTCCGATATTTCATGTAGCTAACAATAAATATAGATTTTCAGATATACCATATAGTCAAGTTGGGAAATTTAATAGATCAAGTTTGTTATTGTATGATTTATATACCTATATTAAAATCTGTGATTCTATATATGTAAATATACTAAATTTTGTGTATAATGTAGATGGGATCGTTTGTACCTGTCTAAACCTATAGAGTATAAACAGCATAATGCGCCAATTGATACCAAGAAACAGCTACACACATTGTCACATGCACACTGAACCAAATCAGTAAAAATCAATGAATTACAAATAATCGAAAATCGAAAAAAAGCTTGAGTGTATGTGTAGCCGACAAGCAGATATCCTATGTTTCGATACGAAACTAACCAAACGTTCAACTGTTTTTCGGTTTTAATCTGATTAAATTTGATTATACCCAATGAAAAATCTATATGTACATAAAATTAAAAATATATGAAATAGATATTTTGCTCGATATGTTGATGGATATTTCAAAAATATAATAGAGTGACACAAATTTTAAGTTTTTCTTTGTATTGTAAAATATGTATAATAAATATGAAAATTTTATAAGCAACATTTTGTAGTTTTCGTAATAAACTAGACTTGTGTTACATCGATATTGATCATGAATGATCATGAATATGCTTTATGTATGCTACAGACACACTTTTGTGCTCAGTTTAGGCATTTTCAATGCGTTTTTAGAGTATCAAATGAACGCAAAACGGAAAACGAAAACGTCAAGTGTTCAAGACTTCACTGCACGCCAGGCAGAGATAAACTCTTTAAAATACAATAACAACAACAACAACAACAACAACAACAACAAGTAGCCGCAGCAGCAACAACAACACACAAATATAACCAATAACGGCTTTTGCCTCAGACAGCTGCTAGCGCTGGCAGCAAAGCTAAACAGCGTCGCGACTCGCGACGTTAACGCGAACAGCGACGGCGACTGCGACGCTGGCGTCGCTGTTTATTATTAAGACGCGCGCGCGCTGGTCGCACTTAATTAGTTGTGCGCCACAATTCAAGCCAAGCGGTCGACGCAGCCGTCAGCCAACGTAAAGAGACAGCGCAACACAAGAAGAGAGCGAAGAAGAAGCAGCAGCAGCAGCAGCCGCCGCAACAAAGAAAAGCATCAAATCAAAAGACAAAAAGAAAACGAAAACGAAAAACCCAAAAGAAAAAACCTTCACTAAAAGAAATCGAAGCACACTTAAATGCATACAACGCCGCCCGTCGAACAACAAATTCGAAGTTTCAAATTCGAAAACGAGAACGAAAACGCGCAAGCGAACGTAACAAACGTAAACGTAAACGTAAACGGGAACGCGACCATTAACGTTAATGTCAATGCAAGCGATTTCAAGAGCGTCGCGCATACGCCGTGAGTGAAGCCAGCGAAGAAAAGAAAACGAGAGAACAAAAGAAAACAAGTCGAAGAAAAATATTTCAAAGAAAATTTGATAAATACGGGGCGCACGCGTGGCACGTGTCGCTGGTTGTTTTCATTTGCCAACGTAAATAACTTTCAATTCGTTGTTTTATTTATTTTTTTTTTTTTTGGCCAAAAATCAAAACAAAGTTTTTATTTTTGTTGAAGTTGTTTGCTTGTTTTTACCTAACTGTTTCTGTTCGTATCATGTTGAGGAACGCGCGCCTCTTGCTCGGCGTTCTCATACTAATTGCCAGCAGCATAGCGGATACAAAAGCCACAGGTGAGTAAATAGATCAAATTCTTTCATTTTCGAAAATTAAAAGAGAATAGAAATTCCTAATGTGCTCGGCAATTGCACAGAAATCCCCCAAAACTTCAATGAAACACGATGTGCTATTGATCAACTAATAGATATCCTAAGTGGCAAGAGCTAAATGAAAATATAAGAGTCTAAGAGTTCTTCACCATTTCAAATGATCTATCTATGTATATTCGTACTACTCACAAAAATCGTCGCTTAGCAGTAATACGTTAGCAATACCAACAAATTTTAGATGATGATGATATTAGTTTGAATTTAGTTTGCTCTAAATATGTAATATACATATATAATATTTTATGTGTGATTCCCTCTAATAAACTAACTACTTAGACCAGTAAAAAAATTTTCCCATTTTCCGCCATTGGCTAAAGAACTTTGATTGATCGCCTAATTATTTTGTTGAGCTCCGAGCCTGATAAATTGTGACTGACAAGTGCATTTAGCAGATATTATTTTTGATACACAAATTGCCAGTTGAGTAGCTCAAATGTTCTGTCAGCTGAACTGGTTCGCAATAGTCAATACAAACATTATTCCTTATGTTGAATGGATCTCAACTACTGCATTTGCCACCTTCTTCATAAACTTAGATCCGAAATCAGGATACGAAAGATATATGAATTAAACAGACAAAATGCAAGTAAAACTTTTCAAGTCGGGAGTTATCGACTGTTAATATTCATACTCAAAGGTATTTGAGCTGTTAATTACGTTAGTTTATAAGCTTTCAGTTTCTAGATCTTAAAGTTACAGTTTTATGCGCTTGCCCGCGATCCAAATGAGCGCAGCTATATCTACACTATATTTGGTCCTCGATTGCTCACACGACTTTATATATCTTACCAAATTCAATAGCACCTTATAATAGCTCTATGAATTGAATGGATCTCAACTCTAATATACTCTTTTTACTTTGTGAGCGAGTAGTGGAAAAAATAAGGTAAACAGGCAGCTGTTGTTGAGCACACAGGAAAACTCTTTCTGGATGGGGCCTATCAGCTAGCTGAGTTGATAACAACTCGCTAAGATCGAAAGATTGGCACAGTCATAAATACATTTCTATACATAGATATATATATGTGTGTAGGGTTGTCTGCATCTTAATACTGTTATATATGGAGTTCAACTGCGAACTACTGCAGCTGAAGCATCTGCGACCCATCAGCTGATAAAGAAATCAAACTCTGAACTGATTTATAGAAGCATATGTATATACATATATGTGATATAAATGTACCAAATAAATAGTGTCAATCAGTTGATCGATGCGATTAGCTGGCACCTGTTTAATTGATAAAAACTAAATTGTTTTATTTGTTTGATTTTTTTTTTTTTTTTTTTTGGTAATTCGCATGAGAGTTAAGAGCTCTGAGTGGGTGGTCAAAGAGAATTTTGATCTTTGATATTTAAGTCCATCATTCATTGATGGACGCACTTGATAAAACTCCAAAAAGAGATAGAGGAGATGACAGGGGGTATACATGAAAATCAGATATGAAACAACTAAAATCGATTGCATTGGGAGAAATATAGCCATAAATATAATAATAATATAAGAACCTCCCCCCAGAAGTAAAGATTAAGAATGTATAAACAGTATTCTTCCGTATCAGAAAAAAAAGGTGAAAGCAACAAATTGAATGATGAAGCTATGAGTTTTATATAGTCTATCGATAGCATATTAAGATGCTATCGATCAGAATCGATTATTCTCTTCAACAACTAAAAAAAACTTATTTTAGCTTAACTCATTAGAGCTCGAACTATCTATATCTATCTATACTCTATCTACATATCATTTAGACAGAATAACTCCGCATGCAAAAAACTTAGAATATCTATCCAAATATCATAAGAATCTGTTTAGTTCCAAGAACTACTAATTGCACACATAAAATAAGTCACCTGACTTAAAGAGAAAAAGAAACGTGCTGTAAAAAAACCAAAAAGAACTACAATAAACAAGATAGACTCGAGCACTTACAAAGATATGTGTACATACATACATGTGCGTACATTTCTATGTATGTAAATGCATTTATATATATATTATGATTTTCCCTAAAAGTTTATATAGTACTTGAGCAGCGTAAACCTCTCAAGAGCACTCGTGCTGCAAATTATCGATTAGTAATACTCGCTCAAGTAATTAGGAACTAAGTATATTAGTTGAACTCATCTGAAGATTTGCGAACTCGGCGAATGTATCAGATTATAGTTGATCTTACAGATGTATATAAATATAATAGATGGCATAATGTATAATTGAAACTTTTCTTTCGACTTTCATTAACTTCTTGAAGTTATCTCGAAGCGAGTATTACGCAGTTACTCTGACTCTGTCTGGGTTCTTAATTGCTTTGCGAAAGGGTTGGGGGATTTTATTACGTGGCGTTGCCACCCATTCATAATTGTTGCACAAACACATTCGAGAGATGCCCGCGCACGCTATAAACACCGACGTCATATGACAAGCGTTTTTTTGTTTTTCTTTTCTTTTTGCTTTCTGTACTTTAGCCAGGTCCACTTCAGCATAAGCAATCGCATGGTCTGTAGATAGGTGTGGATGTAAATGTACCGCTACTATGCACATATGACAGGGTGATTCCCGTACCGTCTTGATTCACTGACATTGATCCCGGCTCTCTGTAAATAGCTTGAATAGGATTCATCGGAAGCCAGTTGGTTATTCCCATTTTCGAATTCCCAATTCGAATTCAAATTCCAATTCGAATTCCGATTCCGATTCCACTTAACTGGGATATTTGAACTCTATCAAGTGTTTTGTACATTGATGACGTTTCAGCTAGCTACAGCTACAGCTTCAGCTACTGCTGCTGCTAAAGATACCCTGTAACTAAATTCAAATAGATAAGAATAAGAATCATGTCGATTTCATGAGTGAGCTATAAACCTCAGATTCTCGTTAAGTAGGTAAGAACTACAAGGTTTACTAACTCTAAATAGTTCCTTCAAAATCTAAAATGTCAGATAGGATCAGACAGATATATCTTGAAGCTTAAATAAGATTTAGCGGCAACATCTACACCCATTAGGGCGTGGCAAATCGGACAATGGGCCTGGTATTACTTAACTTAATTATTTGAAGCCTAACTCATTTTGGTAGCACTTTGGTTTGGATTGCAGGGTATCTCATACATATATACATATGTTTATTTATTTATCTACCAAGTTATTTTACTATTTATATTGTTGTAATTGTAATAATAATTATTCTTATTAATATTTTTCTTGTTGTTGCTGTAATTGTCATTATTCTTATTGTTGTTGCTTCGTCTGGTCTTTATGTTGCCAACTGACGTATATCTATATCATCGTCGTGGTGTCTCTCTGTATTTGGCGAACAAACAATCAAACAAAAGATCGCGGGACGACGGCGTTCACCTTTGATGGCTACACTGTCCGACAAAACCGTAGCCCTTTAGATATAGATATATATATGATTTTCTATTACTCTGTCTTATTGATAGATTTATATTCAGTCGTATTTCATTTAACTTAGTTAAAAATGCTTTCCAATCCATTTAAAATTATTTTTTTGAATTTGATATATTTATTATATGATTTAGGAACGTATATTTCATCTAATATTATGCATCTCCACTCAAAGTTTAGAAAGCTTTCCATTTGCTGTCAGCTTTTTATTATGTGAATCGCGTTTTTCCAGTGCCGCAACTCCAGCGTTCCCTCTTCAAATTAACTTATTCCATTGCATTCCATTTTTTTCATATTTAGTTATGAAACATTGCATTCCATTTGAAAATATCAAGTGCTAATAGTGCTGTCGTTTTATATATTTTATCTCTCTAGTTGACTAGAATTTCACTCAATTGGCTATACTTTCGTTCAGCTCAATCATTTCATTTTTGATGTTCCTGTTCCATTATTCCATTGGAAATTTATGTCTGTCATTAGCTATATATCTTATCTTATAACTATGAATAACTATGTATATTTCATACCTCAGCACTTGACCTGACTCTCAATGTCCAAACAAAACGTTTCATTCCAAATGTTCCAATTCCATATTTCTATACATATTTGCTGCCAGTGCGCCTTCCTATTTCATTTCAAATGAGCTTAGTTTTTCCTGAATTTATCTACTCACTTTGAAATTATAGTGCTTCAATTCCAGCGTTCCATTTCCATACATTGCCAGTCAATAGTTCCTTCTTATTCAACATCATGTGTGTGATAAGATTTTCAAAAATTAATCAAGATCTAATTTGGAGTGCTTTAATTCCAACTTCCATTTTCATATACTGAAAGTCATGATGTCATTCCCATTCCTATATCACTTCATTTCCATATCACTCGATGTTCATTCCGAATCAAGTACTTCAATTCCACCTCAATTTGTCACACTCCACATTGAAATCAATTCGAAGCGTTGACAGCTCGCTTCGATACCATTGTATTTCCGTTGGCCAGTGTGGATCCAATCTCATTTGTTTATTTTAATAACAATTAACAAGATGTAAACAGCATTTAGTTTTGTTTTTTTTTTTTTTTTTATATAGCTTGGGAAACGATGAATTGATTTGCATAGAGCCACCCGCCACACGATCGGCTAAACGAATTGCCAATTAAACAGCAATATTCAGAAGAAGAGGCAGAAAACGTTGCTAAATAAATAAACAATTAAAAGCAACTGAACAAAAATTGTTATTAAGTCAACCGAAAGCAATTTGCATTTGCTCAATTCTAATGATGAACGATCAAAATATTGTAAAGAGTTCAGCGTTACGGCTAGGGCAAGGGCAAGGGCAAGGGCTGGGGCTGGGGCTGGAGCCTGGGCTAGGGGTATTCCCGCGACTTTTTCAAGGGATATGCTGGGCTTTTCATACATCGACCACTGGGGTATTTCTCTTCAGCTTAGATTGTCATTGCCACAGCCATAGCAATGCAAATACCACCTCGACACCTGTCAACAGGTTCAATAAACTTGTTTAGACGCCTATTTAGATGCTGCCAGCTCTCAGATATATTTACATGTAAGCGCATATGTATATAATATAATAATAATCGTAATGACATCTCACATATTCACACATTGCATTCACTGTCAGTGTGCTAGGTATGCAAGAGAGTATATTAGTGCGGATAGAGGGTTCGAGAATAAGAGATTTAGCCTAAAGTTACCTGGTTTTTCATGGTAGTAGATTAAAGACTTTGAATTCAAATTATAGCTAGGTCAAACTATGCATGGAATTTCGTGGTAATGGATCTATATATACGTAATATTGTATATATACGTGAAATATCTGGTAATAGATCTAGATATACCTATACATAATACGTCTGGTAATAGATCTACGTATACGCAATATACATCTTGTACTTTGCTAGCTCTTCAACTATTTCAAGCATTACTTAGAATTATTAGCATATTCTATATAGACACTGCCCTATACCCTGTATACATACATAACATGCTCCATATCTTCATATCTGTATACTGAATATCTACTCCAAATTCTTTAAAGCAGCCTGAACTGTCTTAAACTGACTTAATGTTTTTCCATTACAATTCAGATAATTCCATTTCATTTTACAGGGTATGCCACACGTCGTGCCTCGTGTAACTTTGTCTGTGTTAAGTTTGTCTAATTAGAAAATTATGTTTTGATTGCCGCTGTGGCATTTGTAGTTCTCTCTCATTGTTTCATTAGCGCCCAGCTGCAAGCGACATGCAATGCAGACTGCACACAGATCGTAACAATATATATAGACAATATACATATATACACACATATATATATGTATAAATGTGGTAAACAATAACGAATAATCTAAGCATAAACGATGCGCTGGCCGAGCGTATCGGGCGTGCCGTAGGAATTTCAATGCGAAAAGTTCACCTAGTGCACATTCCGCATATTTAATTGACGGAGCGTGCGCTGCTTGTGGATACCCTAGGAATGCAGCAAGGAATGCAGCAAGGCTTTCTAATTAAATGCTACAAAAGTGATTTATTTAATTATGTTTTGTGAATGCATCAAATATTTAGTAGTAGCTCATTTCAACAGATGATACTGAGATGATAAGCTGGTAGATATCCTGTAAAGGGTTCATGTTACGAACTTAAAGTAAAAATATATTATTGTATAACCGTTTACCGTAACTCTGCAATTTTCAATGGTACACCAAATCTAAATATGACATTCGAGCGATTGACAAGCAGATACCCTGTAATAATATAAGAATACAATATATAATAGCTTTTATGGTATGTTTTGTATATTTATTAATATCTAAATTTTGAATACAACATAAGAATGATCAACTAATAGATACTCTGTAAAGAGGGGTATCTTGAAATTGATTGAATTGATTGCAGACATTTCTGCATCTTGCTTCATATTGTAGATCCCCGGGCCAGCGCAGATATACCCCCATTTATTGAGTGACTTTAATGACTATATATAACCATACTGATTTATATAGCTCGAAAAGACTTTAGTCTGGAGACAGTAAAGAAACGTCTCGATTGCAATTCACGACTACCACAACTTTTGATATCCAATTTACGATAAGACTAATATGATTACAGGGTATATACTAGACAGATGAATCACTTTGTATTGCGGGTAAAAGTTTTGTGTTGCTTTGCTTTGCTGATAAGAGCCAAAGGCCCCTCAGACAGTGCGGCTAATTGTAAGGTACTTCTGTGGAATTATAACAAGATATATACGTGAACATACATCATATATATGTATATATAATGACAGACATCGTTATATGGCATTAGTTAAGACAAATTATGACCAACCATAAGCACTTAATCAGGCCTTATAAAAGATATGCCAAAGGAAAACAAAATAAAGCCCAAACGTAATGAGTCTACAGATTATTTCTGGACGACAAATCAAATGCTAAATCAAGTTGGAAATAATCAGAGAGAGAGAAAGATAAAATATTCCTATAATAGTAATGTGATGTAATTCAAATTCTTCTTCTTCATCATCATCATCAGTTGGAAACTCCATTTCGATGTTGATGTTCAGTTGCGTTCGATTTATTTCAGACATCGAGCATCTAATTGCTGGGCTATATAATTCTTTATCTGTTCACGATTTGTGGAATTTTTTTCTTTTCTTTTGTTTTATTTTTTTGTTATTGCGTGAGAAACAATTAAAATCAGTTAATGAGCGCAGTTAGAACTTGGCTAATAGCTAATAGCTTTTTAGTTACGAAAAGAAAAAAAACGTGATCGACTCGTGGAAAACTTTTGTACTCAAAGTAAATGATTATTTGCCTATGCGGGTGGCTCCAACAAATCGTAGATTCTCCTCCATGGTCACATTTTTGTTTTATTTTTTAGCAGAGCTGATGTATAGGTATATTATGTATATATTATTTAGATATAGATTTAGAAATAGATCATCTTTCTTTAAAGTTCACTCATCGAGATATTAATTTCATGGAGATGACCATGAAGGCGATGGGATCTCTTTGTTAAAGGGAAGAAAGATACAGCTCAGATTCGGTTCTAGACTGAGACTGAGCTTTGTAACAGGTATCGATTCGATAAGCTATTTATAGGGTATCTATAAATCGTATATACTTGTGGGCAATTTGCCATTTAGTTTGTTTGTTAGTTTTATAATTGTGCATTTATGATTTTCAGGGCTGCAGTGTCAATCTTATCACAGTTTTGAGCTGTTATCTATAGTGTAACAGATATATGTATATCTAGATATCTATACAACTATAGACCATATATCTAGATGCATCACAATCGACAATTCTAAGAAACTTAACGAATGTTTATATATATTTCTGAAATATTCAAATATTTTTCTTTTCCCTCTTGCAGTAAATAATGAAACGAGTTTCTTGGAAACATCGCTGAGATATTTGGATGAACAGCTGCTCTACGATCTATTGCCACGTGGCACATGCCCTGGCGATGTGGAAGATGCGCCGCTGGATGAGTTCCCCGATATATTTACAGGTAAGCGAGTTCAGACGAATCGTATCAAATAGTTAAGCTAGCTCTTTTCCCTCTAGGGGGACTAGCTTTGATTTCTCAGCTAGAGAAATTGCCAATAGTCAGCCTCTTTCTATCTCAATCTCTCATATTCCTCACTCTCTCTCTTAACGTCTCTCTCTCGTTTTGTTTCCCTCTATCCCTCTCTCTTTCCTCTTTAACTATATTTCTTTCTTACCTTCTCTTYTACCAATCCCTGATCTCACTTCAGCCCCTCTCTCTTACTCTCTCTCACGTCTCGCTCTGCCTTACTCCACTACACCGTATATATATTTATTGTGGGGTATCTCACAAACTTGAACTTGCTGGCCATGTGGCACCAATGGTCTTCCTGGCCGAGCGCAGGTCTTATCACTGGGCCAGGGCTAAATCGAATGCTAAGGCCCCCGATAAGCGAGACACCGTTCAACGGGCCAATAAATCAATCAAGGCAAATGTGTTTACTCTGGGATATCAACTAGAGCAACACGACAAATGCGAATTGAGACCAGTTCGTGAACCAGTTGTAGTTCCAGTTCGAATATTACTTGGTTTCGGCACTTTTAATACGCGACTCTCGACTCGTATCTTGTCTGCAAATATGTATGTATATAGCTGTATCTATATCTATACATTTGCCTCTCTTCAAATCGTGCTTCTTATCGTGGAAAACCTTTAATTAAACTACAATACTTGGAACATGACAGATACGCATACTTAGAGCCATGACTGTGCTCACCCTGGAATAAATAGCAACAGTTTCTTTATCTCTGCAATATGCCCATCGAGTGCTGTATTTTGTATGCTCTGTAGCCTAGAATATATATGGAGATTGTATCATCCATCTTGCCTATCGTTAGAGTCGCAATTATCAACGAATTTGATACGTTGCTGCCTGGAAACCAAATTTACTTCCTCATCAAAGCATTACCTACTCTGCCCAAAAAAAAAAAAAAAAAAAAAAAAATAGACCAATGCTAATATTTTATATAATCGTTTCATATTTCTCTCCTGTCCCACAGTGGAAGAGCTGCGCCAGGGCTGGGTAGCACTGCATGTCTTCGCTGCGATCTATTTCTTCATATTGCTGGCCATCATATGCAACGATTACTTTCTGCCCACCGTCGAGTGCATTTGCGAGGATCTCAATCTGTCCAAGGATGTGGCGGCGGCGACGTTTATGGCCACGGCCACATCGATGCCGGAGTTCTTTACGAATACGATATCCACGCTGATATTGGAGTCAGATATGGGATTGGGCACCATCATTGGCTCACTGATGTTCAACACGCTCGGTGTGGCTGGCCTTGCCGCTTTGGCCATAAATAAGGTAAGCAGCTAGTAGATGATGGCTATGGGAATCTTCACTGTACTTTCCATTTGTATTTGCTTTTGCAGCCAGTTCAACTGGATTGGTGGCCCATAGCTCGAGACTGCGTCATCTATCTCTTCAATACGATCGTTTTGCTGGTTCTCGCTTGGGGCGGCAGCATCAGCTTTGTTGAATCCTGCGTCATGATGGGTTTTCTGCTACTCTACTATTTGATAACGTTCAACAACAATAAGTTTATGCCGGCCATACGTGTCTTTATCGAGGATCGCATGAACTGCTGCTTCTCCACACGCTACGGTTGGTATATCTTTACTTTGACGATCAACTACAATCGCTTCACTAACATCCTTCGTTTTTATCCTAAAACAGATCTCACAGAGCCGCCAGAGAACAGCGCCAAAGCTCAGCTACCTTTGAAGAAGGATCCACTTTCGGGCGATGGTCTATTTGTGATTAATTTCCCGGAGAATACCTCATCCATGTCATCCACAGCCAACTTGACACACTCCAAGAATTGTAAGCTCAATAAAAAAATAAAATATAAAAATTTTGAAACCCCATTTCATTGAAACGAGATTTAGTTAAGGTTCGACGTTTTGAAATGCGCGCCCTTAGAGATCACTGATTTGCATCTGAGCTTTTAGGGTATCATCGATAGACTTAAATGTATCATCGATAGATAACGTTTTAAACTTTATATACTAAACTGCTATCGATGGAATTTAAATTCACCAACTGCCAACTGAAAATTGCGATTGCTATCGATGGGCAACTAATTAAACATCTCCTTTCATCCCTATATTTCCAGGGAATGGCGAGGATGAAGACGATCAAATGCCGGCAAGCATTTTTGCGTATCCACACAGTGCGACGAGTTTCATGAAATTCTGGTGGGTCTTCACGTTCCCAATTAAGCTAGTGCTGCGCTTCTGCATTCCACATCCAATCAGACATCGTCGCCTCTATCCGTTGTCCTTCATCATGTGCATCATTTGCATTGGCGTCAATGCTTACATGATTGTCTGGATGTTAACGGCATTTGGTGTTGCGATACGTGTGCCCACAATTGTGATGGGTCTCACATTCCTCGCCGCCGGCTCCACAATGCCCGAAGCAGTTTCTAGCCTTATTTCGCTGCGAAATGGTAACCAAATACGATACGAGCTTTCGCCCACAGCTGCAACTCATTTGTTTTGTTTTCAGGTGAAAATGGCATTGGTGTCTCGAATTCACTCGGCGCCAATTCGCTAGCCATTTTGCTGTCGCTGGGCGTGCCCTGGTTTGTGAAGAACTGCATGAACTATGGCACCGGCATCAAACAGCAGGTGGGCACCGAGGGCATCGAGTATAATATTCTGATCCTAATATTGTGCACCATTGGCCTGTTCATCGTACTCAGCTGTAGCGGCTATCGGCTAACGAAGCGCGTTGGCGTCGCTCTATTTACCGTTTATATAGTATTTATAGTGCTCCAGATTTTAATCGAGATGCATGTGCTCTTCCCAGTGGACTGCACCAGCTAGTCAGAGCAACAACAAAGGCAACAACAACAGCAGCCATACCCATTCCAGTTCCAGTTGGAGTTGCATGCATACGAGCTTTTGGCTGGCACCAGAGCTAGATGGATACAATTTCGCTTTGTCCCTATTCTAATTGGATTCCTGTAAATACGAGAGGTTGGGAAGTTTTTGAAGCTGTCTGACCATTGTCTGGTTAAATGTTGTCAGAGTTGCCACCCAAGTAAAAACGATCAACGAAGGAACTTTCGATACTTCAGCCTAAACAAAATTATTTACGAACGTATTGATATAGACATAGACGCTTGTATTATAACAGATTTTTTTTTTTTTTGTGCTTTACTAGCTTAGGTACTCCTTAAGACTGTCTACTATTTAGGTAAAAATAATTCATTGTTACGTACTTATCCTGTTGTACACTATTTATATATACAGAGAAAAACAAAAATATCCCTATTTTATAGTCACAAATTTTGAACTGGTACCAAAAAAGCGCTAGATTCGATAGAGACCAAATGCTATATAGATACTATATATATGTCTAAGCTATAATTTACGATTACGTAAGTGCCCTGCGATATTTATGGCCAATCATCGGCTGGACTTTCCTTAACACACACAACTGCTGTATGCATAGGGTATTATCACTGTTGATATTTTAGAATGTGTAGACTCTATCTATTGTTAACCGTTAGTTACACACACATACACACATACATCAATGCCGTTTGTTATTAATTTACAAATACGACTAACGACCTAACAAATATCAACCAATGTGATTTTTAAACAATTTTGCTCAGATAGCAACCAATATTGAAGAAAATACAAAATAAATTTTAAATTGAAAAAAAAAAAAAAAAAAAAAATAGCCACTCAAGCTATTGCTCGAGTGGGCTGTGTGTGATTTACTGATTAGTGTGCACGTATCCGCTTACTAATGTCGCACACTGTGCTGATAAAATTAAAAAAAAAAAAGATTCTTTGTGGGGATTTTTCTCTTATTCTTTTCTTTGTTTAATAACCCTTCGGATTGGCAAAATTCTTAAAAGTTTTCATCAAATAAACAAGTTGACAAATGAGATCAAAAACATACAAATATATATACACAGACGGGTATATGTATATACATATCTCAAGTGTTTACACTGAGAGAAACGAAATTACAAATGTTGTATGAGCGTTGAAAGTGATGGGAATATAACATGAAAACAATGCTAGTGTCAAAAATTTATATCTTACAGTTACTGCCAGTCGCCAGCTTCAGTATGGATTGGTTGGTGCTAATTAAATGGCCGCCACTGTGTGCGCCTACACTACGCTCCATAAAAAAGCGAACGACTCAGAGACAGAGTTGTGTTTGTTGTAAGCGGTTGTAATATTGATATTTAACAATTAGTTATTGTTGGTGTTGGTTTCTTGCTTTTGTTTACGTTTCGTCATACATCATACATTGTTTGTACATCGTACATCATACATAAATAAATACTTATAAATAGTTTGCTTGGTTTCCTTGTTTACCGTCATGTCTTACATAGTTTTCGTGTTTTCATTTGGTATTCGAATGCAAATTCATATACAATACATATACATACACATATATATTTGTCATATATATATATATATATATAGAAGTTCAACATTTCTCTCTTCACATGTCTTTTCCTTAGCCGTCATGGTTAATTGGCATAAAATGCAATTGGTTTCTACCATGAACAAATCAGTCTGAGCAATTACAAATACATAAATAAATTTCCTTGCGAGATACACGTTTACAATCAATACAAATCTTTCGCGGGGGGCGTGCGGGGAGCGGGAACGGGACGTGAGGGTGTGGAACAAAGTTCAAGACGCTTTACATTAGCTTTCAGCTTCGCGCTTCGAACTACCAATTGGCACAATACATCTTCTAAATGACAAATATATATACACACATACAGACATGTATATAGAACAATAATGAAAGTTAATCGATATAAATATTATAAACTACACAAAGCGCACAAAAAAAAAAAAAAAAACACCACACGCACACAAAAATAAAGTGACTTGGTCAGTGCCTTGGGCCTGGTTAAGTTCTATGTCCTGTTTAGGTGCAACAGTGGTGGCCGTTTTTAACATAATAGTTGTGCATGGATACGGTGCCGTTTTTGCTGTAACTACCGCTGCCGCCACCATTGTAGTGAGCACTAGCGCCATTTGTGAGGCCGCCGGCTGTGCCGTTACTTCCATTGTTTCCATTACTGCTGGCAGCTGCCGCTGCCGATGCCGTTGCTGTGCCGTTATTCTCCATTCTGCTAGCTGCATCGAACGCCTTTATGTGATTCTGTATAATTTTACACGTGAACTGACGGTGCTGTCCCGGTTCCTATTACCGAAAATGGATATCTAATTAGTAGTTGGCAATTCACATTCATACATACATATGCATACATACATCCATGTTTGATTGAGCGTGTGTGTGTGTGTGTGTGGTGTGTGATGTGTGTAATAGTGTGTGTGTTTGTTTGTGTGTCAGTGCTTGAAGGCGCGTTTGGGTATATTTTTACCTACCTTTGGCTGTATGGGAAAGCAACACCAGAGTATAAAAGCTATGAAGGCCACCAATGTGCCCACAAGCAATATGAAATCCTCAATGGTCTAAATATAAGCACAAAGAATGAAAATCAATTAGAAGTCCTCTTTGGATTCGTCTGGCAACGCTACTGTTCTAGTTGGTTTATTGTTGTTCTTATTGTTATTGCTACTTACCGGCTCCTCGCCAAGCAGCACGTGATTTATTAAATAGACAAAATCATCAAATGGCGTCATTGTGAATGCCAAAATATCTCGTACAAATGCAGTTCTGCAGTTTGTTTGGGTTACGGTTTTTTCTTATGTTGCTTTCTTTTTCCGATACGCTGCCTTTACTGCAGCTTCTAGGCGTTTTCGGTGCACTTTTTCGGCTTATTGCATTCACAGCAGTAACGTTAACATGGTTTTGGCTGCGCCACCTCAACACAATCACAAAAACAAATAGTTAACTAAAAATCTCCAACCTTGCACAAAATTATGTGTTGAACGCAGCTGCAGCGGCAGCACAAGCACAGGGACAGCGCTTTGTGATGTGTATGGCGCGTTAAGCTTAGAATATCGATAGTATTGATTGGGGCACCCTAAAATACCGATCACATTTCAATTATATCGGTAGTTTATTCTCTCAGCTACCGTGAATATATATAATATGTTCGGATATATCATGGCTTAAATATATTATCTATTTATTATTTATCTATTTATTATTTATCTTATTTATTGGTTAAAATCCAATTCTCAATACGACTATCGCCAATATGGGCAGCACTTGGCGACAAATATACTGTAAGCTATCGGCAACTGAACGAAACGCACAATCGACCTGCAATATGTATAGACATCGTATTTGAATTTTGGCGCCAATATTTTATATTTAAAAATTATGTGAAAAAATGTAATTGCTATGTGTAACGAATGCTTATCTAAAAAATAAATTCAAGTTAATTTAAGAAGACTGTTATTTCTTGTGAATATGTAAAATGTAACAGTAGCGATACTGCCATTCAAATTTAGCGCCTAACTATCGCTGTAAAAGTAATTTGTGTGGAGCCACTAACCATAGTGGTGGAGCATAGTAAACGAAAACAGCCGTTACTTTATTATATGATTTTATAATTGTGCCGCGTTTGAATTTATTTTAATTATTAAGCTGATGATGAATACAATATATTTAAAAATCACAAAAGTAGTTATTTTCTTACGTCATTTGTCATATAGAACTATAAACATAAATCGTAAAGCAGGATTTCCTATTGGTTACGGGGCTTGTTAAAATGGGTGGGGACTTTTGTATGTGGTATGCGTAAATGGCCCCGTTAATCAGCGGCTACCACAACGGCTAAGCACACAAACAACGTAAAAGCTATATATCACTGATAGATGAACGACTATAATTTATAAGTATGTACATATATTTTTGCCAGTTGGACAGGTTATTGTGCTTGCTTACGATTTGAATCGAGTGCATGCCGACAGCTGAGCGAACGCGATTCAGTTCTAAAAAGACCAGCGCACGGATTAGGCTATACTAAAGCCCTCGCCCTTGCTCTCGCTCTGAGCCCACACGTGACACAAGATGATCAAGATGAGTSTAATGCCAATTCTAATGCTAATGCTAATGCCAATGGCGATCATCATTGGCGCCATCGAACAATCGAGCGATGTCGCTGATCGATTTCCGCTGTCCATTATACACATTAACGATTTACATGCCAGGTAAGTTGTCCAGCTGTGATAACTGTAAATCAGTGAAAAACACATGCTGACATATGTACACCGTAGAGTGTTTCTATGGCTCGTTGAGTGGGCAATGGCAGATATCATCATATAATCGACTCGAGTACCGTAAACACAATCATCGCAATCATGTGCGCCAAGCTTATCTCCAACAACTGTTTCCACACGGCCATCGCATCGATAAGCACGCAATATCCCCAAATACACACCTTATACATATGCCAATTCATAATGTGATTACAAATTGCTGAAATTCCCATCTGATCGGATTCTAGATACGAGCCAACGGACACTGGCGGCGGCACCTGTGGTGAGGAGGAGCAATGCATTGGCGGCTACGCGCGCACCGTTTACACGGTGAGGCGTCTGCTCGAGGAGCAGAAGGACTACAATCCCATCTACATCAATGCGGGCGATAGCTTCCAGGGCACGCTCTGGTACAACATCGGACGCTGGAATGTGACCCAGGAGTTTCTCAATATACTGCCAGCCGATGCGATGGTTCGTTGAACTCCACATTTAAGATCTTTACATGTGGCCTTACCTAATATCTTCTCCTTCTTTCGGTAGACTCTGGGCAACCATGAGTTCGATCATGGCGTCTCAGGCTTGGTGCCCTTCCTGAAGACCGTGCAGACGAACATGCTGGTGGCGAACATGGACTGCGCCCATGAGCCCACCATGGAAGGCCTCTACGAGAAATCGAAAATCTTGGAACGTGGTGGCCGCAAGATCGGTCTGATTGGCGTCATCCTAGAGACCACCTATGTAGCATCCGTCGCAGTTCCAGTTTGGTTCAAATTTTCATTCACTTCGCTTTGCTTTCTAGGACCTGGCCAACACAGGCAATCTGATCTTCCGCAACGAGAGCCATACGATTCGCGAGGAGGCGCGCTACCTGTCGGAGCAGGGCGCCAACATCATCATCGTGATCTCGCACTGCGGCTACGATGTGGACAAGGTGATTGCCGAGCAGGCGGGCGATGTTATCGATGTCATTGTGGGCGCCCATTCGCACACGTTCCTCTACACGGGCGTGCCGCCTGGACCCGACAAGGCTTGGGGCGACTATCCCACCGAGGTGACTCACAGCAATGGCCATCGTGTGCTCATCGTTCAGGCGGGCGCCTATGCCAAATATGTTGGCAATCTAACGGTGTATTTCGACAGCAAAGGCGATGTTATCGATTTCGAGGGTGCACCTATCTATATGAGCAATGATGTGCCGCAGGGTGAGTAGCCTAGTTATATTATTGTTCGCATATACCGTGTACTGAAATTGCTGATAGCATTTACAATCGATAAATATCGATATACGGCCAGGGTAATTTTTAAGTGTATCTCTGACTTCTTCCAGACGGTCCAATAACTGCTATTCCTATATGCAGATATTCTGTATCGATAATTATCGATTTACAGCTTTGTTTAAAAATTGTTTAATAATATAAGAATGATAACTATTCATTTAATTTTTGTCGATATATTTCGATAAGCATATAATGACCGTTCGATATCATTTGTATCAATGCTCGCGTTAAGAATTTTTACAGTCGTTATGAAAAAATTGACAAATATCGATAAGCAATTTAGATCGATTTAAGTAGATTTCTTGACTCGCATTTAGACCAAGTAGTCGGGTAGGGTATTTTTGCGTCGTGCATGCCTGTGCTAACTCGTTTGTRATGTGTTGTTGTTGTTGCTGCTGCAGATGAAACTGTGGTGAGAGCTATACAGCCATGGAAGGAGGTCATCGATAAGGAAGGCAAGGTGGTCATCGGCCAAACCCTTGTCGATCTTACCAAAGAGGATTGCGGCAGAAGGGAATGCAATTTGGGTAACTTCGTCTGTGACTCGATGGTGCATACGGTATGTTAAATATATGATGTATATGATGTGACTAAGCTAATTCCGGTATATGAAAACTCTTCTTACAGTTTGTCGGCCTATCACCCTTTGAGAATCCACAGTGGACGAATGTTTCGATAGCTTTGGCATCCACGGGCGGTATGCGCGTGCCTCTGCATCGTGGCAGTGAGTGAATCTTAAAGCTTGATTGATAGTTACAGTAAATCATGGCTAAGCGCAACTCCATGCATATATATCTATTACAGATCTGACCTATGCGCATATGGTGAGCATGGCGCCGTTTGAGAACCAGCTGATGGCCTTCAATTTGCCGGGCCAGAACATTATCGATGCCCTGGAGTATGCAGCTAGCAAGATTGATCTGGAGAACGGGGTAACCAGCTCGTATATAATGCTGCAGGTGTCCGGCCTGAAGGTGACCTACGACTATACCAAGCCGATCAATTCACGTGTCATCTCTGTGCTGGCCCGTTGTGCCGACTGCGATGTGCCCGTCTACAAGCCACTCGATCCGGCTCAGGCCTATCGCATTATCACCCCCAGCTTTTTGCAAGGCGGCGGCGATGGTTTTAGCATGCTTAGTACGGGCACTGACATCCAGTGAGTGTTGATTAATATCAGGCATCATATTGAAATATCGATATTTATTGAGTTTCTTTCGTTTGCAGAGTGAGCATTACGGACATAGATGCCCTCATCTCGTACACCAACAATGTGAATCCTATCTACACGGGCCTCGAGGGTCGTATTACGGTGCTAAACTAAACCACGTTTTTTAGACGATAAATATTGATACATTTTTAATGATAATTATCGATTTATAACATTGGTTTGCTCGAAAAGCAAACAAATCTATTGATGCGAAAATTTTCAAGACTATGTTCCTCTATCAAATAGGCAATTTGTTAAAAATCGATAATTATCGATAGTTACAAATACGAGCTTTATTCCTTTAAAAATTTAACCAAATTCAGATGTACATAAATCAAATTTTTGTGAATAAAATCTATTTGTGAACTATTCAAATTGTTTTCTGATACGACAAGATTTATTTTCAAATATTCGATAGAAAATAGGTTTAAAACATGCAGACATGTAACCTTGTATATACATATATAATCCCCGCAGTATTTCCTAGATTTATTTAATCTTCGATTTTTATAGGTATTCCCGATGAACTTTCATTGATTGTGTTCAAAGAAATTATATATAAATTATATTGTTTTTAACAAGTTTTGATAGGTTATCTAAATGGGGGGTCTCATTCAATTATTTCTATTAGTTCTTAACTGATGTGTGTGTTGAGGCTTCAAAAGCTTACTTAAGTTAGATAGGGAGCGAAAGATAGATGGAGAAAGAGAGAGAGAGAGAGAATGAGAGACAGAGACAGGGACAGTCTGAAGTGATGGCCAGTTTAAGGCAGAAAAATACCTGAATATACCTTCCCTACATACACTAAAAATGTCTTTATCAATTTTTGTTGTATACGTGGGCACAAATCCAACGCGTCCATACACACGGACAGACAGACGGTTAGACGGACAGACAGAGGGACAGGGTGAAATCGACTCTGTCATGATCAAGAATATATAAACTTTATGAGGTATGCCGGGGTATAATAGACCTATTATTAATGTTGACTAAGTGCAGAGTATGCTGAACAACGAGACTTATCTTTCATTTCCTTTTTCATGACTTTTGGTTATGCAAGATGAAGACGTTCTTGTAGCTCTGCAGCCTTGGCAGGCACAACTGGAGGAGGCTTCCAATCGTATAGTGGGCAACAGTCGAGTCTATTTGCAGCAAGTGGAATGCGCGCGAGGCGAATGCAACTTAGGCAATCTCTACACAGATTCCATGCTGCATGCCGTGAGTAGTTTTTCTATCTTCTCCATGTCTTTCTCTAATCCTTAACCTTTCTAGTTTATTAAGGAAGCATCCGCTGAAGCGCCCAATTGGAGCAACGTGACCATCGCGCTGACCAGCCAAGGCAACTTTCGTGTGCCTCTGAAAGCGGGCAGTAAGTAAAAACATAAGTAGCCCCTTGGAAGCAAGCTAAATGGAACGCATTGATATCCAATCCCCGATAGACATTACTTATAAGCAGCTGGTGGCCATGTGTCCGTGGGAGAATCATTTGTATGCACTGACTTTACGGGGCGATCATTTGTTGCAGCTGCTGGAAGATAGCGTGGCACCGATGAATGCCAGCCTAACATTTCCCACGTCAAAACGTTTTCTTCAAGTCTCCGGATTGAGAATCATCTATAATCTGAAAGCTGAGCCCGGCGAGCGGGTGCGCCAAATACTCGTGCGCTGCTCCAATTGCTCAGTGCCTCAATATCAGCCTTTGCAACAGACTCAGCATTATCGGCTGGTAGTCATGGAGTATCTGGCCAATGGTAAAAATGGTTTCTCTTTGATCAGCGACCATGCCCAAGACCTTGAGTAAGCTATGCCATAGATATTAGTTGATTCGAACTTCTAACGAGTCTCTTTCAGAATGGGTCCCTTTGATTTAGACGCCTTAATGGACTATATGAGTGTAATTGGGCCTATAACTGCCGGTCTAGAGCAGCGAATACAATTTGTAAATGATTGAAAGTAGTGCTTTTTCAAATAAACGTTGACGGAATGCAATTTTTGATTATCGATCTATCGTATAAATTTTGGCAAAAGCATGAAGTTGGTTGCTTTGGGATTTTTCACATTACTTAGCTGTACACTTTTTTTAGCTTACGCGCTGCGGTCACACTGATCCAGTAGTCACTCATTCAAAAGTCTTGTTAAGGTTAAGAGTCCGCCTGCGGCACATTTCGAGCAAGTGAGCTTGTTAATTTACATCAAGTCAAATCGGAAGTGTTTCAACACACAGCATTATTTTTTGATTATTAAACTTATTACAATCAAATAAAAAAACCGTAAAAATGTAAGTAAAACAAGCTAATTTATTATTTAACGTTCATAAACCGCGTGTGCGCAAGTATTTGGATTATCATTGTTGTGTGTGTGCGTGCGCGTGTGTTGCATTGCGGTGTTATATAAGATAACCGGCAAAGCGAGCGGCTGGCTTCCTTCTAGAATCTTCTGTAAAACATAACGTGAATTGACTTAATGCAAATGTTTGTTAATTATAACTACCAATGACAATTCGTGCGGGCATTCTCTCTTACGTTCCATTGATAATCGCAGATTTTCCAATTGGATTTACTTTCCAGCGGCACACACACACAGTCACATATACTCACGTAACAGCGGCAAACGCACATGTTTTCTTTATTCGTCCGATTTCACAATTGCTATGCGGGAACAGTGCATGTTTTGTTATTGGACTTTACATTTCTTGGGTATATGGAAGGTCCATGCACTTGGCCCACATTTCATAACAACCCTAAACTTTGCAGCAGGTCACTTTCGAAGGGGAGGGGTGGGGGGCTCGGCCTGGTTACATAAATGATTTGTTCTGGAAGACTTGTTCTCGCGACTTGCTATAGATAGCCCGCACCGGCAGGGGGTCGGGTCTCTTATCAATGATTTAATATGAACTGAAATGGAAATCAAATTCCATATTGCATCAATTAGCGCTGTGCACGTGTTTATTTTTTTTTCTCTTCCCGTTTGATGTCTTGCCAGCAATTGATTTATCGATAATTTGATTGCGCTCTGTGCATTGCAGATGTTCCGTTTACCCGTTTCACTTGCACGCACCTCCATCAGCCGGCAGCTGGCGATGCGCGGCTATGCAAAGGATGTTAAATTCGGCGCTGAGGTGCGCGCCATGATGCTGCAGGGCGTCGATGTGTTAGCCGATGCTGTGGCCGTGACCATGGGACCCAAGGGTCGCAACGTGATCATTGAGCAGTCGTGGGGATCGCCAAAGATCACCAAGGATGGCGTGACAGTGGCCAAGGCCATTGAGCTGAAGGACAAGTTCCAGAATATCGGCGCCAAACTGGTGCAGGATGTGGCCAACAATACCAATGAGGAGGCCGGCGATGGCACCACCACGGCCACCGTGTTGGCTCGTGCCATTGCCAAGGAAGGCTTTGAGAAGATCTCAAAGGGCGCCAATCCCGTTGAGATTCGTCGCGGCGTCATGGTCGCCGTCGAGACCGTCAAGGAGAACCTGAAGACCATGTCGCGTCCCGTCAAGACTCCAGAAGAGATTGCCCAGGTGGCAACCATCTCGGCAAACGGTGACCAGGCCATCGGCAAATTGATCAGCGACGCCATGAAGCGTGTTGGCCGCGATGGCGTCATTACCGTCAAGGATGGCAAGACCCTTATCGATGAACTGGAGGTGATCGAGGGCATGAAGTTTGATCGTGGCTACATTTCACCCTACTTCATCAACTCGTCGAAGGGTGCCAAGGTCGAGTTCCAAGATGCTTTGTTGCTGCTCTCCGAGAAGAAGATCTCCTCAGTGCAGAGCATTATCCCAGCTCTCGAGCTGGCCAACTCACAGCGCAAGCCTCTGGTCATCATTGCCGAGGATATCGATGGCGAGGCTCTGAGCACTCTGGTCGTCAATCGCTTGAAGATCGGTCTGCAGGTGGCTGCCGTCAAGGCGCCCGGTTTCGGCGACAATCGCAAATCCACTCTCACCGACATGGCCATCGCCTCGGGCGGTATTGTGTTCGGTGATGACGCCGATCTGGTTAAACTGGAGGATGTTAAGGTCAGCGATTTGGGCCAAGTGGGCGAGGTGGTCATCACAAAGGATGATACACTGCTGCTGAAGGGCAAGGGCAAGAAGGAGGATGTGCAGCGTCGCGTCGATCAGATCAAGGAACAGATCACAGACACCACCTCTGAGTACGAGAAGGAGAAACTGCAGGAGCGTCTGGCTCGTCTTGCCTCTGGCGTTGCTCTGCTGCGCGTCGGCGGCTCCAGCGAGGTGGAAGTCAACGAGAAGAAGGATCGTGTCCATGATGCTCTGAATGCCACACGCGCTGCCGTCGAAGAGGGCATCGTTCCCGGTGGTGGCACCGCTCTGCTGCGCTGCATCGAGAAACTGGACGCAGTCAGCACACAGAACGAGGATCAGGTAAGATATGACAATGCTCATCCAAGCGCTGTAATCTCTTCAATCTCTACATCTATAGAAACTCGGCGTGGATATTGTGCGTCGTGCTCTGCGCATGCCCTGCATGACCATTGCCAAGAACGCGGGCGTTGATGGCGCCATGGTTGTGGCCAAGGTGGAGACCCAAACCGGCGACTATGGCTACGATGCACTCAAGGGCGAATATGGCAACCTGATTGAGAAGGGCATCATTGATCCCACCAAGGTGGTGCGCACCGCCATCACCGACGCCGCTGGCGTTGCCTCGCTGCTGACGACCGCCGAGGCTGTGGTCACTGAGACGCCCAAGGACGATGCTGCTCCTGGCATGGGCGGCATGGGTGGTATGGGAGGCATGGGTGGTATGGGTGGTATGGGTGGCATGATGTAAGCAACATTAGTAAACCACTTTCTCTACACTTCCACACACTGTCGCATCCAGACATACAAACACACACACACACACCTTTCATACGTTTAGGCTCATGATGCACAATGCCAGAGTAGGGGATGGGCACAACCACATTCTTTTAACGAGGTGTAGTTAGCTTTCTTTATACAACACACACCAAGACACACACACACACATACACACACTCTCATACACTCATACATTTGGTGGTCGCCGCCGCCGTGTACTTTGTTTCGCATTTATATCCTGTTTTGAACAATTGTGCCGGACTCGCTGTCCATCCCATACGCTCGCATTGCTGCAATCGTGATTCACATATTCTTTTCAAACTTTTTTTTTTATTATTTGTGAAAAAAAAAAAACTATTCCTAAATACTATTTTTTACATGTTATATATGTAAAGGCAACAAATAGCGTTAGTTGTAAACATAACAATAAAGAATACAAAATTATTGAAGAAAAACGGTTTTTCTGTTCGGCGGATGTTGGCGGAAAATCTAACTGTCTAAGTGGGAATGAGGGAGATGAGGAAGAAGTTTGGAAAAACAAGATGAATATACATATGAATATATAATGATATGAATATGAATATATATAGCACATGAGTCTGGCTTAAAGTAACACCCGAGGTGCGCTCAAAAAGTTTCGCAAAAATTGAATTTGAAGACTTGGCTCTGCTTGTAGTTGGCGGAAAATCTAACTAAGTGGGAATGAGAGAGATGGAAGAAGTTTGGAAAAACAAGATGAATATACATATGAATATGAATACATATATGAATATGAATATATATAGATATGAATATGAATATAACACATGAATCTGGCCTAAAAAGTTTCGTACAAATTGAATTTGAAGACTTTTGGCTCTGCTTCAATCTTTGCCGTTTCCATGTGGTAAAGCGAGGATAATGCAACGAGCCTGTGCTCCACTCAGACCTACGCCTCGTTCAACTTCCCAAGGAGCTGAAGGCGAACGAAGGAGTTTCAAGTGCTTCAAGAATGTGAATTATCCAATGGACATTGCTTTGATTTATTACCAAATAGATATAAGTACATACATAAATAAAAACACATGAGAGTTAATTTTGAACGGGACACACATAGAGTTTTATTTACAATTTGATAAGTTCGTATAGATCCATTAGATTCGATCAGATCTCGTATAAAACATTTACTGGTAGGCCGATTGCTGTGTATAAATGTATTCACTACATATATATGTATATAATAATATGTCCTTTTAAATAATG